GAAAGGACGTCGCAGAGCAGAACTCAGATTAGAGCTCTGGAGCGCTGCGCTGCGGCGCCTCTCCGCAGACCCTTTGTTTTCATGCAATCTCGGGAGAGTTTCTTAAATTGGAACAGTCAGAGATGTTGTACCCAAACCACTCAGCTATGCCCTGGGAGACATTTGCCAGAATCCACAGCAACACAAACAGCTCAATCAAAGGAAAAGCCGTGTGGATCCTCCTTCTTTTATAAACGAGAGCTCGTATCCCGTTGGGAGGTGGGCAGAAAGGACAGTGCTTGGAGACAGCCCTGCCTAGGTTGCGGGGCGAGAATATACTGGCTTTGATTCTAAGTAATGGTCTCATATCTGTTTTCCTTTCTGCCCCGAGTTCTTTCCAGTGAGTGTAAAGATCAGGTGTCTCTATCCTTCTTTGCCTAAAGGATGAAGTGAAGTCGTCTCCAGAATCAGTGGGTGTATTTGGTGTGGCCAATACTCACTTAGCCTATCTGACACATATAGGGGCATGATCTGAGAAGGCTAAAATAGAGTCCACCTTCCCAACAATTCTAAATGATGAAACTAAATTATCAAATATGCATTCTAAAGACATTATGTTTGAGTGTGTGAAGGTTCTGATCGCCCTATTTTCTAACAGGCATTGACTACTCAGAGTCTTGCATTCATTACCAAAACAGCAGAGAGGAGCCTAGATATGGTAGGAAATGCCAAATGATGTTATTTATGTCCTCACTCCTTGTAGGTACCATCCTGATTAGGTTAGCTTTGAAGTCATAGAATGAATGATTTATAACCCTAATCATGTACATATAGTAGGAGCACATTTTCATATGCTCAGATAATTATGTTCATGTGGGTCATTCAATAATGGGCCCAAACTAAATGCCTGTTTGGTGCCAAATGCTGAGTTGTTCTCAAGTGTATCACAAAAGGGGCGCTCTTATTTTCACACTATGGCATAAAGTTAATTAGGAATCTTACTAAAAATCTACATCATTCCTAGTAAATTAACAAATTTATGATTTTAATGAAAAAATTGTCCTCAAATCTTTAATAGTTCAACTCTACCCTAATTCCCCTTAAACTCATTACAGTGTTTTGATCATTCTTTGCACATGAAACCCATTATACTTTGAGTTTGGTTGTTGTTGTTATTTTTTTTTAAGATTTATTTATTTATGCACACAAGAACTGGGGTGCAGTTCAGAGGCGCTGGGTGGGGGAGGTGAGAGGATTTGCCAGAGACAGAGTGGGGAACAGAACAGGCATATTGACTGAAATATCCTGCTGAAGGGAGCAGCAGGCGAGGCAGGAGAGGTCTGCTGCACCATGTGGGTAGCACCCTTGCCGGTGGGGGATAGAACTCGTGCTGCAGTGGCTGGCGACAGTCCGATAACAATGTCTTCAACTCTGCACCACCAGGGAGGCCCCGTTGTCGTTATTGTTGTTAAGAGCAGTAGAATTACTGCTGTTATTATTCTTAAGGGTGCCACAATAATAATAATTATGGTTGTTGTCATTGTTATTAATGGCAGGGATGGTCACTCATCCGGTGAGACTGCTGGTTCTTAACATTTTGGTGATCATCATCACCATTCAGATCAAAGAAATTCAGGGAGTTGCCCCCTCTCTAGAAAAACATTCACATGCTATTTAACCTGTAATTTTCAGAGGTGGGAAAAGCTAATCGACTGTCTGGAGCAAGAGTCAGTGAACTTTTTCTATAAAGGTCAGATAGTAAATAGTTCAGGCTGTGTGGGTCAAGAAACTAAGTAATGGATATTATGTAGTGACTTCTACAACAAGGGACAAATCTCCATAATTTTTACTCATAAAATAGAACTGAGTGCAATTATTTTTGTAATGCAGGTCAATTAATGGAAAAAATAGCATTTGGCAAAGAGAGGGGAAGAGGGGAAAATATTTCACTTAGCTGAGGTTCAAAGTTAGTATTTCCTATCATCAAGTGACTTGAAAATATGCATTGTGAAAACTTTTCTTAATTTGAGAGCTGTCATAACCCTGGCAGTGGATTAGATTTGGCTGGCTGGCCATAGTTTGCTAATCCCTGCTTTAAAGTGTACCCAAAGTAGGAGACCAGGTTTAGGCTGTGGTAGGGAGGCCCTTTTGGGACTCGTATAGGCTCACCCATGACCAGCAATGCTGTCCCTGGCTCATGACCCTGCTGAGAGCCACAGGGAGCCTCACCTGGAGTCCGCAAGGATTCTCAGTGCAGTGCTCCCCAATAGGGCAGGCTGGCAGCTGAATTGGGGCTGCTTTTCAACTGTTCAGAGCCACAAGGATGCACAGTATACTACATTCCATTAACCTATATTCTGTGACCTCAATAAAATGTTCTCAATAATCAGCACGAGTCACAATACAGGGCCTCCCTGGTGGCGCAAGGGGTTAAGCACAGCACTATGAAGCTATCCACAGCCTCTGCAGCACGAGTTAGATCCCCAGCCAGGGAGCTACCCACATGGTGCAGAAGATCTCTCCTGACTTGCCCGCTACTCCCCTCAGCAATTTATTTCAGTCTGCCTTTTCTGTTCCCCACTCTGTCTCTGGTGAATCCTCTTACTCCCCACACCTCTGGCCTGTACCGCAGTTCTTGTGTGCATAAATAAATAAATCTTAAAAAAAAAAAAAAGAGTCACAATACAGATCAAAAGAAACTTCTTTGCCCAATGTTTGAAAATTGAAAAGCAAAAAAAATAAAGCACATCAATGGATAATGCATTTTAATGAATAAAATTATTTCCTTAATCTGCAGTTATCTTTCAATCAATACTTACTTCCAGAAATTCAAAACCACCATCGCGCAAATTTAAAAGACCTTAGAATAAATCATAATAAACTAAATTAAGAGGCAGTGTTTAACCAAAATATTGATAATTACGCAGAAATTTTAGCCTTCTCCTCAGTTAATCTTTTTCTACTAAAATCGTTCCACAAAATCAGTCAATCACAAGAGAAATGTAATTCTATATAATGTTTTCAGATCTATAATGTCGGAAAAAGCTTATGCCACTAAGAAAAGCCATAAATGCATTTTATTGTCGACTAGAACTCATCATTTCATTTCAATAATGGTTAAATAAATAGAGTTCCCTGCACTACCTAACAAGGCTTCACAATTTGAGGAAACTTGATGCAAGGTCTCCACCTAGTGGCTGTTTCAAAAAGTGTGATTAAAATAAAAAGTGTGCATATGTGTGATAAAGACAAAGAGATACAGAGAAAAAAGTGGTGAGTATTTTGTGTACCAATCAGTGGCATTGCATAATATGTTCATTTTTCTTCTTTTCTTCTTTCTCCTTTTCCTCTCATGTCTCTCCCTGTCTTAGTCCAGTTTTCCCAGGAAGAACACAGATATTTGCACACAGGACTTTAAGGAATGCTCTCAGGAGAGACAGAAACAAGTATCCTTATGAAAGACAGATTCCCAGAAGCAGGAAAGGTCATGTGAAGATGGTCACAGAAGCTATATCCCTATCCAAAATAAAATGTATCAAAAATTTGGCCTCCCTGGTAGCGCAAGGGGTTAAGCATAGCACTGTGAAGTTATCTGCAGCCTCTGCAGTTCCAGTTCAATCCCCGGCCGGCCAGGGAGCAACCCACATGGCTCAGCAGACCTCTGCTGACTCACCCGTGGCTCCCCTCAGCAGTGTAGTTCAGTCAATCTGCCTGTTCTGTTCCCCATTCTGTCTCTGGTGAATCCTCTCACCCCCCGCACCTCTGGCCTGTATCCCAATTCTTGTGTGCATAAATAAATAAATCTTTCCAAAAATTATCAAATTTACTGACTTCTTACCCTAATACTCTATCGACTTCAAGAAGCACATATTTTTGTCAGTTCTGGTCAGTGTTATATTCCCAGAGTCTAGAACAGTGCCTGGTACCAATACTCAGACAGTGGCATCAAAAAAGATGAATAAATGAATGAGTGGTGACCCCACATTTTATTCCTGAATGAGTAGAAGAATGATGGATCTATTGATAAAAACAGGAAGTGAATGGAGGAAATCATAATAATTGAGATGGGGAGCTAGCTAAGTTCAGTTTGGGGGTTGTTCAGTTTAAAGTGACATAACGAGTAGATTCATTAATTTAGAATTTACTCATCCAGCAGACTCCAAAAGAACTTTGGAAGATTTACACTGTTAATTTAATAAGATAATTAATAAGAAAAAAAAACAGAAGAAATATGACAGGCATCGATGATAAATAACTGATGTTTGGGCAAAATGTCAGTGTTGAAAAATACACAGATTAGTGATTAAAACTCAAATATAACACCTTCAAAATCCAATTTTAACCAGTCTCTCTTGCATCAGATATTTTGTTATCTCAAATAAAAATTAATTTATTGGTTGACGAATGGATTGGTTTCATTGCCAATATTTTCCCCTTTTTATATACTGGACAATACTAGTGATCGGAAAGAAAGCCAAGATTCCAATTAGATGAAGTATAAGGAAAGAGCTGCGCTCCAGAAATTGTCAGAGATTGAGACTAGAAACTGAAATCACAGAACCAACAGTACTCCCTTGCACATGGACTGCCCAAAAAGGTGACACACATACACCCCTGCACCCGCCCCGCCTCCAAACCCTGTGGAAGGAGCAGTCTGGTGCCTGTGCACATTTGGGAGATGCTATTTACCTCACCCTTTTCTCACCTCATTTAATGAAGCATCTCCAAAGGTGGTGATATTTTCCAAGATAATTTATGCCATGCTCCCCTGGCTTGTTTTCAGGGGAGAAAGAAATGACTCACAATGGTATCCTAGTAACTCATAGGTACTAAAAGTGAAATGGATCTCACCTCTCTATACTTTCATTTGAAATTTTCATGACATCTTCAAATGATAAAATGTCAGTGAGAAAGATACATACAGGAGTCAGTCTCCTGTGTTTATTTTGTAAGATTTGCAAAGCTTCACTGATATCCTTGCTGAGACCAAAGGACCAAAATGTTAAACATTTCATCAGTACCTGTTTACAGAGGCAGGTCTGCGCCACGTGGGAGGCTGGTCAGCTAGTGTCTTCCACATTTTACCATCTGGTAACTTCCAACTGTCTCCACATGTATTTTTGAAAGCATCAAGTTGGAAATGTCCTCATAAATATAGAGAAATGACTAGCTTCATGCATGAAATCTCTTTTGGGCGTTGTTTTCTTTAATGGAATAATGAGAGAGAACGTATTTTCTTGCAATATCTGACATATACCTTATTTCACAATTCTTTGATGTAGAACAAAGCCTTTGAGTTCATTTTAATTCCACAGTTGAAACAAATGCAAAAACTTGAATTATTTTCAAATATTTTATTTTTCACCATGATTGTTAGACGACACTTAGATATTTCACATGGCTTGAGGCTACTTTGTTGTTACTAACATCTCCTTCATGACAAAAAAAAATGTTTTGATTATTTAAGTAAAAGCTTTAGGGCATGTTGTGGAAAAGAAGTGATTTTTGACATCACAAAACATTTGTTATTAAAAGTAGTCAGTGTAGACTGCTACTGTACCCACTGGGAAGACAGGAAACATTACTTAACAATACAGTGAGCCACAGACAGAAAGGGAAAAGATCCTTTTGGGATCAGATTGTGGAGATAACTTTTCCACCAAAAGATAAAGAAAAAATATATAATACAGATATCTCCTTCCTTTGAAATAGGAAAATATATATATCTTCTGATTTCTCAGGCCATATTTTAAAATAAATTGCAGTTTTGTTATTGTATATGTTCTGCATATAAACAGGTTAGAATGTTAAGTCTTTCTATAAACCATGATGCATTTGGCCCACTGGAATGTGAGACTGTGACTGGATAAGCCAACAAATCTTTATTGAATGGGGTTATATGGAAAGCATTGGGAAGACTTCCTGAAAGCTCCCCATGCTAGTATGCATGAATAAATAAATCTTAAAAAAAAAAAATATGGACCAATGGACCTTTAATTTCTTCTTCTGGGCATTTATAAATTATACTTGTTCAACCTGCACCCCTATGTTTATTGCAGCACTATTTACAATAGGTAAAACCTGGAAACAACCCAAATGCCCAAAAATAGATGACTGGATCAAGAAGATGTGGCATATATACACAATGGAATGTTATTCAGCAATCAAAAAAGATAAATTCATGCCATTCACAGCAATATGGATGGAACTAGAAGGAATGATGCTCAGTGAAATAAGTCAGAAGGAAAAAGAAAAATATCGGATGGTTTCACTCATAGCAGGAATATAGGGGAACCAAATAAGACATCAGTGTAAAAAAATAGTAACAGCACAAAACACAACAAAGCAAAACTGGACAATTATAAATCAGAGACATACTGCCAGGGGAGGAGGAGGGAGAGGGATTAGAGGGAGGGAGGGAGGCGCACAGGGGACTGTGGTGATGGTACACGGGTGCATTGGTAAAGGAAACTGTGGGGACTACACCTGAGGGGGTGGGGGGGAAGCAAATATTGTTTAAAAATGAACAATGATGTAAAAAATAAAAAAACAATAATTAAAAAATAGTAAAATTTTTAAAAATTTAAAATAAATGATACTAGTTCACCCAATAGTGATAATGGATAACAATTAGATATTATCTTTTCAAAGGCAACTGTATTTTTATATTAGTAGACCATAAATTCACAGGACAGGAATCCTTCAAGTATTTTGTAAGACTAGAGAAGATTTTATGGGCCAGGACATGGCTAGTCAATGTTTGAAGTTTTTCTGGCTGACTTAAATACTGAGTCTGACATGGGAATCAGTACAAGCCACCCGGAGAGCTGGAGATCATGAGCTAATCTGAGAAGAATCCAACCACGACCTGTTTGAAATTCATTTGGGTAATTTACAGGTATAGCAGATGGGCTTAGATAGGTCGGGAATCGATTTCCAAAAGACCATCACTTACTAAACCTTAAATCTGTAATTGGACAAGTTCTTAATTTCTCTTCTTTTGTAAAATGGAGATAGCATTGACAAGAGGGATGTTAGAATTCAGAGTAATGTTAAGATCTCCACGCAGAGCTAGGAACCTAGAAAGTGCTCAAATAACGACTTACTATCATTTCACTTTATGAGTTGAGACTAACTAATTCTGGAGTCACAACTTCTCTGACTAGAGGGAACTTCAAAGTCCGCCAGCTCAACTACGACTCCCCAGCACCCTAGCATGGTTAACTGTGCAGGACATCTCCCAGTTACTCAACATTTGATGTAAAATCCTTCACTGGGACATTGCCAATAAAGGAGAGTTAAAGGGGAAATGGTGTGAAGGCCCACTTTGCTAAAACGGGTTGTTGGACAATATAATCTGATTTTTCTTTCGGGTGTGGTTGTCTGAACAGAGAAGTGGTGCAAGTCATTCTACTGGAACAGAATGCAAACTCCAAGTTCAGGTGATACTTTCTGAAAGGCACTTTGAAAACAACCCCTTCCCAAATTTCTGTAAAGCACAGCTGTTAAAATCCAGAGGTATCCAGTTAGGTTTTAGAGATTTCTTTCCAACACAACTAATAAATGAGGCTATGAAAACCACAGCACACACTGCGTAAGCCTGGGAGCTGCGCTGTGACACTCAGCTGGTGCCTGGCATAGACAGAAATTATCATTGAAGCATTGAAGGGCACGCCAGGAACCACAACATTGCCACCTGCATTCTGGCTGGGAACAACAGGCCTGCCAGGAAAAGTCACCGTGAGCCTTGCGTGCCCCTCCCAGTGCCAGAGGCTGGAGGACACAATTAGAGAGCAACTGAGCCTCCCACCTGCAATTCAACCTTGGTCATGAGTCACTGTGTCCCTGGGCCTCCTGTGTCACCCGCCAAGTGGTGACAACTGTGATCACCTGCCTTCCTCACCTGACTATCACAGGCTTTAATGAATTTCACTCTCATAAAATGTTTCCCTCTCCTTGACAGGACATTGTTACCCACAGTAAGAAAAAAGCCATTATCATTATTGACCTCAGAGGCCAAACATATGCTTTTGCGGGCTCACTTGCTAATGAAATATAGTATCTAACGTTTATAGAATGCCTTTCATCACACACAAAACTGCCATTTAAAAGTTCACAGATTGGAAATATGAATGTATGGGTGCAGTTGCTTTCTCTGAAAGGCAATGTGTTTCAATGTAGCCAGTTACAGTAAAAAGTTGCTCCAAAGATCCTCTGCACAGGTGGCCAGAGCTGGCCTTTAGTTCACAGTTCATTAAACAGTCTTCCTTTGACCAACAGGCCTCTCATTGTAAAACATCCCAGGACTCAGCTGATGTCAAAAGCTCCATTTTCTCCCCGGGTGGGGGAGATGGTTCCCATAACGCCTGCCCACATGCATTCTGCAGCAGATAGGGACGGGGCTGGCTCTGCAGATGTCGCTGCCACCGCCACTGTCACTTTTCCCCATCACACAATCTTGGGTATCTTTCCAGAGACTTGCACAAAGCTCAATTCAGAGTTTGCCTTTGACCGATGCACTTGGCCTGCAGATGGACGGCCAAGAAGAAAAAGACTTCCCAGTGTTTCTCCACACTTGCCTGGGAAAGCTAGGGAATTCCTGGCTTATTTACTAGCTTCAACTCAGGCTGAAAAACAAATCAGAAAGTTGCCAATGGTTTCATTCAGTCTGTGAAACTGGGTTAATGCGACTCTGTGAGTAAAACCATCAATGGACAAAAGTCAGGAAATCCAAGGTTGCCATTCCCACAGCCTGCGGAGGCCCGCCACACACAGGTGACCCTGTGTCCTGCTCCAGTCCCACTGTGTCCCTGCCAAAGCACAGGCCCTGGGGGAAGCCAGCCTGGGGTGTACCCATATGAGGGGTCTGGTCCAGGGAAACTGGTCTCTGCATTACTATTGTAATGTGTCATGTTGCTATTTCCACAGTAATTACTCCATTGTTTTTAAGTCAAGTTATATGTTGACTGAAAAGTATGCAAATATACTTGAGCCTTATAATTTCTACAACACAAATACTCCCATGTAACCATCACTCGGTCAAGAAATTGAGTATTGCCAGCACCCAGAAGCCTTCGGCAGCCTCTAACATAATGATAAACTCAAATTATTAAAAAAAAAAAAATAGAATATGGTGGAAATAGACTCTGAGACTCTAGAGGAGCAGGAATAATCTTATTGAAAAGTATCTCCTGAATTGAACCAGCCGGTATGGGAACACAGGCACAGCAGAATAAAGAATGTGATTAACCTGGAAGATTCAACAGGTCCTCTCATCAGAGAGGGCTGAATAGTACCCAGTGTCCTTCCTTCCTGTAGGCAGGTTACTGCAGGTAGAGGAAACACATAAAACCGATGTTGTTATCCAAGGACATACCTTAGAAGATCTCTGTAAGGTGTTAGTGCTCGGCCCATCCTAGGTGAGGTGAGTCGGCATCAGCTCAGCCACGTAAATGCCAAAAATTTCTGGAGATTCTGAGGTGCAACCCTGGATAAAAACAACATTACAGATGATTCTTTTTTAGGTCAAGCTTTTACTAAATCAAGTTACATGTTGACTACAAAGTATTTCTCTCTTTCATTAAATACCTTCTAAGTCCCTTCCTTCTGACAGACAAAAGGAGGAAGTTCTTGGAAAGTACAGATAGGGACAGTGAGAAATTCAGTGTTCTCCGTTCCTGATTTGATTTGGACTGATTCTACCTGCACAGATGCTGCGTAGATGCCAATGCCCACAAAGTGAGTCAAAATCAAAGACCCTGCCTCCCCACACCTCACAAAATCAGTTCTTCCATGTCTGTAACTGCAGGTCTTTGCATGTATCTGAAATGATCTTTTCACTCACCCACATGGCAAACTCCTACACATTCTATAACACTCAGTGTAAACATTGCCACTCATGTGCATTTCCTGACCTAGATCTTCTGCTGTGGCCCTACTATCCATCAATGAGCCTTCCAGCCCTTAAGACACCACACTGTAATCACCCTTTCAATGCCCACTCCAGGGAAGGGACTGAGATTTTCCTCTTTTCTGCTTCCTCTGGATCTAAAACAGAAGCTGGGACTTTCTGAAGAAGTGACTAATGAACAGAGACATGGATGGCTGGGTATTTGAATATACTGCAAATTTCACACTGTTCTATTTGTATTCATTCTGTAATTATCACAGGAAGTGACTGTCTGAGCTTGACCTTCCCTTTCTCCCTAGATTCCCATCTTTCTCACTTTTCAAGCAGACAGCTAATTCCTTGCCTCTTCAACGACTAGAAATTCTATACCTTCACTATGGAATGACTACCAAAAATATCATCTTACTTTTTGGAGTCATTATTCTTTCAGACTCACTTCCAAATCTGACATTCCAGTGGGCCTTTTGCCTCTCTCTTTTATCCCAAATAACAAATGCAGCAAATGGAGCCCTTGGAAAAAACATCTAGAAAGTGTGCCTGAGAACTGTACCCAGGGAACAGCGGCACTGAGGCCAACTCCTTGTCTGCACTGACATTCAGCGGGCAGTTCAATCCCTGCCAGGTATATATACACAGCAGTTAATTTCCTGTGAATAAACCAGAGCCAGCCTGGGCAGTGATGGTAAGCTGAGCACTCTGGCAATGCACTGTTCCATGGGAGCTAGTAGCTTCCTCTGCGGAGGAAATGTTTTGGAATAACACACCAACCATACAAAACATTTCCTACATTCCAAAAGCAGTCTCGTGGCAGAAGCACAGTAAAAAAAAAAAAAAAAAAAAAAAGTGGAATAAATATTGTAAAGGTTAGAGGAAGAGAGAATTGAATGGTTGGAGATGAGTGACATTTATTGAGATGTCCCTTACTCTGGGGAAGCAAGTGTGGGAACATGTAAAGAAAGAATATAAATAGCATCATTAACCAGGTATCAGAATGTCATAATGTTAGAATTCCACAGGTGGATCGAATATTAGAGACCATGTAAATCAAACCCATAATCTTATAGATGAGGCAACTGGTTTACCAAAATTAACATTGTACAAGGTCCATATCAGAGTCGAAAATGATATCCAGTAATTTAGTAAAATTTAAGTGTTACCAAAGGACTCACATACCTCAGAATATTCCCACCTGATGTCTGTTGTGATGTGCATATAGTCACACCATTTTTTTTTTTACCTTTTAGGTAAAATCCCTGTGCTTCCAGAAAGCACACATCGAAAAAAAAAATCTGTTTTCAAATTGTGTCTGCAAAATAAAGATCCTAACTCTAAAAAGTGTCAAGGTCATGAAAGGAAAAAAAAATTAAATGTTTAGGAATTGTCCCAGATGAAAAAAAAGACAAAAGAGGCAGGTCATCTAAAGGAAATGTGGGGCCTGAATTGGATCTTAGACCAGAAATAATAAAAGGTGTAAATGAAGTGGTAAAATTTGATTAAGATCTAAAGATTAGATGCTGGTATATCAATGCTAATTCCTGAGTGGGATCATTTTACATTGGTTCCATAAGAGAATACCTTTGCTTCTAGAATACACACTGAAGTATTTAAAGGTAAAGGCACATGTGTCACACATACTAAAATCATCCTCATGTATGTCCCAGCAAGAGTAAGGCCATACGTACCTGCAAAGAATAGCATGAGCAAGCAGAAGGCACTGGGGAGTCGAGAACACAGAGGTTCCAAGTACCCAAAGTATTTAGCAAATTGCTTAATATCCTTACTGTCTTACGTTTTCTCACCTGTAGATGTTAAGAAAAATATTAGCACCCGACACTTACTGAAACCTTTATCTGTGCTAGGGGCTATTTTAAGAACTCTACATGCATATCAAAAAAGATAAACACATGCAGTTTGCAGCAGCATGGATGGAGCTAGAAGGGATCATGCTCAGCAAAATAAGTCAGAAAGAAAAAGAAAAATACCGGATGGTCTCACTCATAGCAGGAATTTAGAAAACTCAATAAGGGGCCAGGAAAAAAGACTAATTAATGCAAAGTAAAAATCAAAATCAACAAGCAACTATAAACCAGAGACACACTGAGGGGGAGGAGAGGAGAGAGGAAGGACTAGGGTCAAAATAAGGGGGGGGTACAATTGTATGGGGAATATAACCAAAATGAAAATGCATACATTGTGCAAGGATGAAAAATGATGTAAGAATTATATTAAACACAATATTAATTAAAAAAAAACTCTATGTGCATTAATAGCAACCTTTAACAAATGAGAAGATTGAGTCACAGAGAGAAGTCATTTGTTGAAGCTCGCACAGCAGAGGAGCAGAAGTGACCAAATCAAACTGCAGCCATATACTACGTCTGCTCTATTCGTGTTGCTGTTAAACTGAAGTGAAATATGCTAAGCACTTTACTGAGCACCTGTGTCATGGGAAACACTCCGTAAAGGTTGGCTACTCAGAAGTCTCCACATCACACCAAGCAGCAGGACCCCTGCACTGTCTGGAATTCAAGCCCTCAGTACTTGGCTTCCTGCATTTATTAAATCTTTTGTAGAGTTTACCAAATAATGTGATCTATAAGTTAAATACCCAATATTTCAGAATCACCAAAAGAAAAGTAGGGGTAGCCTATGTGAATATTTGTTGCTCTAACAAGTGATAGTTTTGTAGCTTGGTTCTATCAAACCTGGTTCTCTGGTCTCCCGAGACCTGAGGACATTTCTCACACTGCTTGAATTCCTTCCCCAGAGCCAGGGGAAGAAGACTTATATTCAACCATAACTGTGGTATACAGATTTTGGGCATGTCTTTGGGCTTTTCTACAGAAATTATGCTAATATATCTGGTCTAGTAAATGATACTAGATACCACTCAAACCAGATGTTATTTCACCAAGTCACTTTCCCTTTTTTGTGATTTTTTCATTGCCTACAGAGTGGCCTTTGATGGCTTTCACTCCGTGGATGTTGATACTGAGTGAAAGGGTCATCCAGTCACCTCTCCTAAATTCAAGAGTAGGCTGTTTTAGTCAGCTCAGGTTCCCATACAGTTACCACAGGCTGGGTGACTTAAACAACAGAAATTGATTTCCTTACAGTTATGGAGGCTGCAAGTCTAAGATCAAGGTGTTGGCAGATTTGTTCCTTCTGAAGCCTCTGTCCTTGACTTACTGTGTTGCTACATGGTCTTCCCTTACACATATCTGTGTCTTCATCTCTTCTTTCAAGACAGCAGCTATATTGGATTAGGGCCCACCCCATTACCTCATTTTAATCTAATCACATCTTTAAGATCATATCTCCAAATACAGCCATATTTGCAGGTTAGAGGAAAGTGGGGCCATAATATATGATTTCAGGAGAAACAATTCAGCTTATAAAGAGGAGGGAGAGAGGATCCATAGAGAGGTGTCTTTAATCCAGAAATGAGTATTCCTTGGAGCCCACTGTTTGCAAAACACTTTAAGTCTAGCTTCTGATGCCACCTGTCTCCTCTGTATCAGCTGTTCTGGGAACTAGTTCAATGGCGGCTCCATCCCAACAAAGTTTCCAGAATCACCTCTTGTATCTCCGTAAACTCCTTGAATCTTGCTAACCACACCTTGATATCCTGCCCAGCTGTCCATGCACCATCACCTTCAATGTAATTCTCAGTGCTCCGGAACACAAAATATTTGTGCATAATATGTTGGCATCATTACTGAATTCAACACTAAGTCAATATGGCTAAACAACTTGGAAATAATCCATCCTCTTAATAGCTGATATAATTTTAGTACTTTATTTACTACAAACATTGAATTTTGCCTTCAGGCCTCATACAGAACAGCACTGACAACTTCCAGAAACATATTTGAAATGCCTAACATAGCACACACAGCTGACTAGGAGTGTTCCTAGTGTGTTGTGACAGGAAGAAGGAAAAGTAAAAGTGGGCGAAATAACCAATCAAAAGTAAAGCTCTCCAGCTCTCCCCAGGACCTCCCTGCCCCACACCTGACTTCTGATTTAGGACCTAGAGAATACATCTTTAATTCTGAGTCTGCTACTGACTCCATGGAGAATTTAAGTCTTCATCCATTTCCCTGTCAGTAAGAGGGTTAAAAATATATCATTCTCCATCCCCAACCCTCCAACTATTACAAAAAGGGGGGAAAAAAATGACATGGAACTCTTAACAAAACTCTTAACATGGAACTCTTGGCAAAAGTCAGAAAAGATTAAACAAATATAATTTTAATTTTTATCGGTCAAAATCAATTTAGATTCATTAAATTTGTTGCTTTTATTTGGGCATTATTTACTAACTTATGCTCATTGCCAGAGAAAGACTGAATGACTCTCACTGTAAAACTTTTGTCTTCAATCCCATGAGAAGATTTAGATTTATACTTTGATTGCCCTTGATCTACTTTTGCTGATTCTTCTGAGTTCTAGTCTCCCACGCTGTGTAATGGAAGACTTAAGAGTGGTTTTTTCACAATTGCTCTGGGAGCCACCTGTAGTACATAAGGTGGCCACCAGGGGACAGCATAGACCTGATACTGCTTTTTTTCGCTAGGCTTTTGCAGTTTTTCCTAGACAAAGTGCCCTCGCGCAGGTGCACATATGAAACTATGAAGTTATAATCCCAAAAGTATATGGCTGTGTAAACAATTGGCAAATAAATGAAATTGGAAGGGAGAAAAAGGTGCCTTTTCCCTAGGAAAATTTCTTTGTATTCTGGGATCTGAAAGTACCCCAAGACAGTGACCTAGCGAGCCTGGTAGCAATTCTTTTCCTTGAAGAGTGTCTCCATCCCTCTCCTACCCTTTGCGGGCAGGTTCCTGGTTAAGCCTGGCCTTTTGGTATGGTAGGGAGGTATGGCACGGGCTTCAATATACAATTTGCAGACATTAAAACAAACCAAATTATGATGGTGTTGAACTCACACTTTCTCAGATTCTGGCTCTTTCTAAAGTTTCAGGAAGCAAGAATGGGCTTTTGGGGGTCAGGAGGGTAAGCAACCTGGGAAATGTGCAACAACAGGACACCAAGAGAGAAGAGGTTGGACAGACGTTAGGAATGGTTATTAGTAATGAGCAAAGAGGAATCACATACTTACATTATTTTGCATTTTGCAAGTGCTGTAGCCTTGATCTTATTATTAGCTTATAATTCTGGACCATCAACCTCAATTATAAGTGAAAGAAGGAAACAGGAGAAACCAGCACTATATGCAAGCAGCTGAAAACAGAACCCAACCTACCTTGTACCCTGACTGTTGTAAAACACACCAAGCTGTCCATAAGCACATCATCCCTAATGGTAAAAAAATGAAATCCCAACCTGGAATCAAGACAAAATTAGAACCAGGGGGAAGGATCGTGTTACAGCAGAAATAAACTTAGCGTGCCTCCTTAAAACGGTGTATTCAATCTGATGCATCCCAAGCCCTCTGAATTTGTCTGGTACCTAACTTAACCTGTTCAGTCAAGCACAGATGCCGCAGGCAGTGAGTGGCAGAACAGGGAGGCATCACAGGGACAGATATGTGGTGACAAGGTCAGAGGGGCCACAGTGTGTTCTGTGCCCAGTTTTTCCTGCAATTCCCACACAGAGACTCCACATTCATCCCTGTGATTGATGCTCCTGGCACCCGCCTGGAAATTCTGTCTGTGAGCTAATTATGGGGAATGACCTGCATGCTTTGGGCAGGAGCAAGTAAGAGGATCGGTAGGTGAGAGTTGGCGACTCACAAGAGGGCAGCCTTTGATGCGAATGGAGCAGAAAGTTTGGCTGAAACTCAACACCTCTTAGAAGTACAGATTAGTCAAGAGGAAGAAAGGAGAAAGCATTGTGGAAGTTTTCAAGAAGGAGACAAAGATGCCTGTGTTTTGTATCGCTCAGCTGCCTCAAGAAAATGTCCATTTGTTTTCTTTACACTCTTTTTACATTTTAAGTGGAATCTAGTGAATGTGTCTTTTCAGTGTTCCTGATTTCACCGTTTTTACTACACCTCATGTTGCCATTTTAATGAAGCATCATCTTTCCAGAGGGTGTGGGAACAAAGCTTATTTAATGACCTCTCAGAGCAAACACTGAGTTCTTCAAATATTTCCCTGAATTAAAACCCCTACCCCACAACTCACTTCCTTTTTAAAATGCCAGTTTGCCAACTACTGCAAACCAATAAACAGGGCTTTCCTTTACTCTCAAGCCACAGGGTTCCTGTCGAGTCTTGTAGCCTGGGAAGTCTGTGAGCAAACCCAGACTCCCAGCCTTCAGCTGTGCCCTTGGAGGGGACAGTGGCATTGAGCAGGCCCCTGGGAGGCACAACACCACATTCCTAGGACTTCTACAGAACATGATTTCAGGGACTCAGCAAAGACCTGGAAAGACCATGGAAATGTTTGGGTCAACCGCTTGTGTTACAGGTGAGGAAACTGAGGCAATGGGGAGAGGAGGCATGTGGAAACCACATATGTCCCAGACAGAAGGAGATCAGCAGGTTGGCTCTTGTGGTTCCAGTCCTGATGCCTCAGCATCATGTGTGGCAGCTGGCAGACTGCATAATCCCAAGCCATTTCCCCAACCTGCTGAACTAGAATTTCTGGGGGTGAGGACTGTAAATTTCCATTTCACTAACACCTCTCCCCTATGGTTGAGATAGACTCTGAATTTGGGGAAGTGGCAGTAGTGTTAGAAAACAGTCTCAGAGTCAGACAAACCTGAGTTTGAATCTCATCTCTGCCACTTACTAGCAAAGCACCTTTGGCAGAAGAGTAGATCTGAACTCTGT